GACATAGTCAGACAGAGCACTAGACAAGGAGTCTAGCACCAACATAATAGAGTGCTAGACAAGGAGTCTAGCACTGACAGAGTGCTAGACAAGGAATCTAGCACTGACATAGTCAGACAGGGTGCTAGACAAGGAGTTCCCAAAGGAGAGACGACTCTCCAAAGATGCCTGATGAAGAGCTGCCTCCTCAGAGTAGAGTTGACCATGATAAAGTGGATAGCACAAAGCCTGTGGGATCAAAGCCTTCATCGGGACCTTCATTTGCTGATGAGGCATGGCTCAAAACGAGAATAAGTAACTGCAAAAATCTATTTATAATTAAACTTTGAAGGTGTGAAGTATGAATCTTGGAAAATCAACTGTCATCAAAAATAAAAGAGATTGCACAAAGATCAATATTCTAGGCATTATGAGCTAAAATCGACTGAGATTGACCATTTTAGATCAGGAAAACATTTGGTTTACTACAGGAATGACACAATCAAGAGGAATAGCATTGCATTCATCGTCAAAAAGGACATTTCAAGATCTATCTTGAAGTACAGTGCTGTCTTTGATAGGATAATATCTATCTGCATATCAGGAAATCCAATGAACACAACTATTATTCAAATTTATGCATCTACAACTAAAGCTTGAGCTACAGAACTTAAAGAAAAAATTTAATAGTTTTATTGGCATATAATTCACATATCATACAATTAAATTGTTTATTCATATTAAGTGTTGTAGAATCATCACCGCAATCAATTTTAGAACATTTTCTCTTCTCTTGTACTCATTTTTGGCTTTTGTGGAATTTTAAAAAAATCAGTTTATTGGGGGCTCGTACAATTCTTATCACAATCCATACATACATCCGTTGTGTCAAGCACATTTGTACACCTGTTGCCATCATCATGCTCAAAACGTTTTCTTTCTACTTGAGCCTTTGGTAACAGCTCCTCATTTTCCCCCCTCCGTCTCCGCTCCCCTCTCCCTCATGAACCCTTGATAATTTATACATTATTATTTTGTCATATCTAACACTGTCGATGTCTCCCTTCACCAACTTTTCTGTTGTCCATCCCCCAGGGAGGAGGCTATATGTAGATCCTTGTAATTAGTTCCCCCTTTCTACCCCACCTTCCCTCCACCCTCCAGGTATTGCCACTCTCACCAGTGGTCCTGAAGAGATCATCTGTCCTGGATTCCCTGTGTTTCCAGTTCCTATTTGTTCCAATGTACCTCCTCTTGTCTAACCAGATTTGTAAGGTGGAATTGGGGTCATGATAGTGGGGGGAGGAAGCATTTAAGAACTAGAAGAAAGTTGTATGTTTCATCATTAATACCCTGCACCCTGACTGGCTTGTCTCCTCCCACAACCCTTTTGTAAGGGGGTGTCCAGTTGCCTACCGATGGGCTTTGGGTCTCCACTCTGCACTCACCCTCATTTACAATGGTATGATTTTTTTGTTCTTTGATGCCTAATACCTGATCCCTTCAACACCTCATGTGGTCACACAGGCTGGTGTGCTTCTTCCATGTGGGCTTTGTTGCTTCTGAGATAGATGGCTGCTTGTTTATCTTCAAGCCCTTAAGACCCCAGATGCTACATCTTTTGATAACTGGGCACCATCAGCTTTCTTCACCACATTTGCTTATGCACACATTTGTCTTCAGTGATCCAATGGCAGCGGACACATCTCCACGGCTCTCTGACTGCCGTCAGTATAGCTCCGTGTGGCTTGTCAACAGGAATGTGAAGCAGACAGAGTGTGGTCCTCTTCCCAAGGAGAAGAAGAAGTTGTTTCTGGAATCCTCTTGGTGGGTGTTACTCTGTGACCTGATTGAGAGGCTAGACTCCACCCCTACATTCTATTTTGCAAGTTGACATGAAATTATGTAACTGCCACAAATACACTCAAAGTCATATTTTGGATCTTGTGGACTACTTTTCATTTTCTTCAGCTTTAACCTGAACTTGCATATAGCAATTGATGGTCTGTTCCACAATCAGCTCCAGGCTTCATTTCAATTACTGATAATTGAGCTTTCTCCATCAGGCAATCCCCAGCTTTGTTTTTATCACCCACAGGCTTTACTCCATTCTTATAACAGTAGCCAACTCTACTTTGAGAAAGCAGCTTCTCTGTAGTTATATTTCAAGTGCCTTCCAACCCGAGGGACCAATTCTCTGGCACTTCCTCCAATAATGTTCTGCTTCCATTCATTAGGACTTGAGTATATGACAATGTTTCCAGACGGTTCCATAAGGTTTTCAGTGGCTACTTCTTCTAAAGTAGGCAACTGATTCCTTCTTCATAGTCTGTTCTTCGTCTGGAAGCCCTGCTAAGACTTGTTCATTCTGGGTGACTCTGATGTATTTGAAATACCAGTACATAGTTTCCAGGATCATAGCAACACACAAGTCATGCCAGCATGACAAACTGACAGACAAGTGGTGGTCAGCTAGCATATAGATGGAATAAATACAACCTCGATGCATACCCTTCCTGGTTTTAATTCATTCAGTTCTCCTTATTTTATTAGAATAACTGTCTGTTGGTCAATAAACAGCTCAGAGATCTGGGATTCCCATTCTTCACTATGTTGTCTATAGTTGTTAAGGTTCACACAGTAAAATCTCTTTGCATCATCAATGAAACATAGTCAAACATTTTTCAAATATTTCTACTTACAGCCAAGATCCATCTGATATCAACAGTGATATTTCTTGTTCCATGTCCTCTTCTGAAGCCTGCTTGAATTTCTGAAAGTTAACTGTCAAGATTCTTTTTGTTGGTTTGTTTGTTTACTTTTTTTAACTGTCCAGATTCTGCTGAAACCACTTTTTATTGTCTTCATCAGCATTCTACTTGCATTTGATATTACTGACATTGCTTGATGATTTCTGCACTCTGTTGGATCAGCTTTCTTTGCAGTGAGCACAAATACAGACCTCTTCCAGTTTATCGCCCACCCACATGACGAAGTAAGGCATTAAACTCTTCTTATCCAGCCTATGCCTGGAGGCTCTGCCTTCTTTCCTAAGCATCCTCATAGATCAGATTCCTGGCAGCTCCCTCCCCTGTACCATTCCGGACAGAGCAGTGCAACCTGAACGGTAGACACTTGACCATACTTGAATGAGTTAGGACTTAGCCTGTGGTAGAGAAGGTAGCATAATGTTGAAGTTGGAACATATTTTTTTTCCCACCTGTCTCTATGGTCAAGCTGCCATACGGCCACCAGGCTGGTGACAGCACTCACTTCTTCACAGCATGACGCAGGGAGGTTGTCATGACCTTCTATTCCGGGCTCTCCCATTCTCTGTTCAGCTTCACAAAAGGTGCCATGGTTGTGAACTATTTAAACTCAGGATCCCTTTGTGACTAAGTGCTTTCTTCTGTGGTCAGTTTGGCGTGGTACTGATAGACAAGTGTATTTCCTTAGAGGCATTTGGACCATTGACATGGAGGACGCTCTAAAAAGGAAAGGGAGGAATGGTACAAGAAAGAAGAAGACAGATGAAGGTAGGAGTTGTGGACTGTTGACAGTGAAATCTGCTGGGGTGGGGCTGGCCAAGGGTAGAGGGTTTGAAATCCGGGGTGGGGGTGGGGAGGGGCAGGGCTCTCTGTGTGGTCTTTCTTGTTCCACTGGTAGAGAATGCCCCATTAATTGAGAATTCTTTCAGGAGGCTGAAAAGGGCTGCTGCTCATTTTATGCCGGTTTTAGATTTGCTGGTGGCAGCTTCCTGTAAACACCGGGAGATCTCTGTATTTTGCACTGGATTGAAGGAGAAAGGGATGAACAGCCAAGGCTTTGCTGCACTGTCACACATCTTATCTTCCATAGACAGCGGAATGCAGGACTCCAACTGGGGGATGAAGCCCTGCCACAGCCTATTTTTGACGAAAGAGATACTCCCAGATTGTGTCGGCTCCTGAATGCCTAGCCATAACTCTCTCATCCGAGTTTTGACTGCATTATTCTCATTTACGGGGGTTTTCATGGTCTTTAGGTTGGAGTTAGCAAGATGAATCATTGAACTCCTTTCTCTCCCAAGCACCCATCGAAATGGTCAATGAAATAGAAAAATTGAGCACGTGTGCACCCACCTTGGAAAGCAGGGGAAAGTGCCAGCTTCAGAAGAGAAATTTTGAGGCATTTCTTTTAGATTTAGTAATGTTGTAAATGAAAAGAGGGAGGGACGATTGGGCCATGATTTGGTGTAAGCAGGAGTATAAGCTGCTTGCTAAGCTACTGAATACAATTCCTAGTAAAACTCCTCTGCCCCAATTACCCATAACTTCTGGCCAGCAGCGGTCCTGCAAGACTGATGAGTTTTGGAGGCAGTGAAACTTGAGTTCAAATCCATCATTCACCAGTTGAGCGAGTCTGCCACCCTTGGTTTCATCTCCTGTTAGATAGAGGGGATATTCACTTTGTCTGGCTGATGAAGATTAAATGAAATAGGGTAGGCAAAGAGACATAGGTACTGTTAGCTAATTACTCCATGTCAGATATTGTGCTAAAACCTTTACATAAAGGGTTTCTTTTCATCTTTAGGAATCCGGGGGTGGTGGTGTATATGCTTTAACATACTCGGCTGCTAACAGAGACAACTCAGGGAAAGGCCTGGCATTCTACTTCTGAAAATTCAGCCATTGAAAACCATATGAAGAGTGTTGTAGAATATGTCTCGCAAGTTTTCTATTTATTTCTGGAAGCCTCCACCTCCCTAAAAAAAAAAGGCCCTATGAAGTACAGTATTGCTCTACATAACACATGGGGTTAGCATGAATCCGAATCAGCTTGAAAGCAGCTGATTTGATTTTTGGTTTTAATCCTCAGGGATTTAAACTATTTTAATCACCAATTTATAGATGAAGCAACTGAAGTTCAGAAGTACAAGTACAAGGTCAACAGTTAGTAAGGGGGTAGAGTAGGAAGTTGAACACACCGTCTGACTGCAGAACCAATACTCTCACCCCCCAAACTACACTTGATGTATATTTATTTAATCCTCATAATAGCATTATTGATGAGGCAGTGGAAGCTCAGAGGTCAAATAACTTGTCTGCAGTCACATAAAGATTTGCAATAAAGACTGCTAGACTCCAAAGTCGTCTCATAATGAATGCTATTCTCCAATTGCTATCCTCCCTAGAATGTCATTCTTTCCCCCATTTTGCACTGGGTTTTGCTTCTACAGAGTATAAAGGGTGGACGTTTGTTATGTACAATGGGGAGGAATTCAAAGAGCCGGAGGGTTCCACTACTTCCAGTTCTCTGAAAGGTTATTGCACTGAAGTGACTAAATTCCTTCTGTTTTTCTTTGTTGGTAGAACTCACTGAAAACATTGGTCTTCCCTTAAATTTGCTGGAAAAGCATGACCCTTGGCCAGCTTATGTCACATCTACCTCCCCAGTGGTGAAAAAACTCATTGAGAAGAGCAGAGCTCGAGAACTGGAATGCATGCAAATCATTGAAGAAAGGCAGCAGCAGCAAGGGTCCAGGCCCAGGAAGCCTTCCAGCTTCACTCAACTGAAACAGTGGAAATCCTCAAGCGAGGGTGTGATAAAGGACGCACTGTCAGAGACCACCCTATCAGTTTTGGGTGCTTCATCTGCAATGGCCACGGGTCCCACAGCTCTCCCAGAACCCCCACAATCCATTGCAGATTCCAGAGAATGTCCCACCATAAACTGTAACAAAATCATCTTCTCCCGAAAGCCCATGATGAGGATGCTTCCATACAGCTCACTACTGGCCAGTAAAGAAAAACATCCCGATGTTTAGCAAAGCAATTTCTGCAACCATCCCACAAGATTATATGGCGATTAAGCTCCAGTTGCCACAAATCTCATTATTTCCTTGACATTTGAATTCATCCCAATCATACAGAGGTTGGCATTGATCAACCAGATCAGAATGTATATCTTAAGTGGGTCATCTCCCCTCAGCATCTACATTGAAGTCTGGCAGGGGCTGGGCTGAACCAGGTACCAGTTACCATCCAGAGATGCTTGGAACCTAACTGTGGAGGAATTCTTCAGGGTCCAGGCAAGGGACCAAAACCACATCAGTCATTTTATCGGGTTATATAAAGACTTAATAATCAGGTGACTGAAAGGCTGAAAGAGAACACTAAGGAGGTAGCAACTACAGATTTTGGTTTGAGAGGGGAGGCAAAGGGGACATATTGAACTTATTAAAAGTTAGGCACTCAGAAAAGGGATCTATGAACTGAGTCTTGGACTTCTGAGGTTGGGTGAGGCGCTGCTCAGCTGGTATCTGAGCTGGGAGGAGAGTCCCTGTGGGGCTGCAACCTGACGTCTGAGGAAGGAAGGGATGCTGTCTGCTTGGTGGTAGTGTCTCTGAGGACAAGTCATGGAATTAATCTGTGAGTGCTAGAGGGACTGCAGATGGAATTCAAATGCTTCTGGGAGAACCTGCCCCTGCTGGGGTGAAGAGAAGCCTTTCTGTGGGTGGCTGACTGGACCAAGATGGAGAGTTACCAGGATGAAAACAGGGAGCAGCAAGGAGAAAGTGCTCTCTTTAGCACCCTTGTTGGCAGAGCTTATCAGGTAGTAAAGCAAGAACGTGCTTTGAAGAGAGTTCTGACAGTCTGAGTGGAGTCGATAAAAAAAGGATTAGAAGCTGAGAGAATGTTAGGTTAATAACCAGTCCAGCAGGGTTCAGCAGTGATCCACGGCTCCACCTGGCACCTGAAAAAGGTACTGAGATGTGTTCTCCTTGGAAGGTTACAAGGTGGCAGTAGGAATAAAGATGATCCCTGCTGAGTAATGGCGGCATTTCCCCCTTGGACTTTGTTCAGGGTCACTTTGCTCCTGCTCACCAAAGCAACTCTGAAGAAGTACAGGTGAAAATGCCTCCATTTCTCAGCATGGTTGCTTTGGTGAGCAGATGGAGACTTGGTGGTGTAGTGGTTAAAAGTTGGGCTCTGGTTCTCAAGGTCTACAGTTCAAAACCACCAGCCACTCTTGGGAGAAAGATGGGGCTTTCTACTCCCCTTACTAGCGACAGTCTTGGAAACTCACAAGGGCAATTCTGCCCAGCCCTGTAGGGTCAGCAGCTACTGGATTGTCAGTGTGTTATGAGTTTGGTGAGCAGGGTTGGTGGGGGAGAAGTTCCTGGCTGGACCCTAGCGGTTACTTGTCAGACAGCAGCCCAAGGTGATCCAACTCTGAACTGGCTCTGATTAGCTCCAAGTAAAGTGATGCAAGGTGGTCCTCAGTGTACAATCAGGCAGGCAGCACATTTAGAAGCATGCTGGAGCCAGTTAGCTGAGCAGACCCAGCTGGCCCCATGTTCAGGGCTCATCTGTTGACCACGAGTCCCTTGGTAGCTTTCTCTTCTTTGACTCTGTTAGCACAATGCCATTCTCCGTTTCTTGGTCTCCTAACCTCTCCTGAAGAGTGAGAGAACTGGATATAACACAAACTTTTCCTATGGCCCTTGAAAGCCTGGGCTTCGGTGTTTACATTTGAAAAGCTGTTAATACCCACTCCCTCTTCTTCACAGATGTAGAAAATGCTATGTGCTAATACATGTGCCATCAAAGACATTTGTTTTATAAATATGTCCTCCTATACATTTAAGAGTTTTGTGTAAACTTTGGTGGACACAGATGCAGCTTTGTAAAAATCATCTCTGGGTGCTATGCATTTGGATTGAGACACAAAGTAGGAGCTAGCTTTCCAGCCTTTAGCTGGAATGAATTCTTGGCCTAAGTATCAGTAGACTATGGTGAGTCTGAATGGCTATATTCTGTGTCCATGGAGCATGTCCAGACAGGGACTGAGATGACGCATATTTCCTCCAACAGAAATATGTGTCTCCTTCGTCTGTCCTTTTATGACTGTTGATGGCCAGGATGCATTTGGGAAGGTAGGGATAATAGTATCAATGAGGATTGGAGTTTCCACGGTCTCGGGGCTCACTCTTTCTCTTTGAGGGTGGCAATATATGGTAATTTACCTAAGGTCACATGTTTTGTTTTTAATTTAACTTTTGGGTGCCTATGATGTTTGTAAAAAAAATTTTAAAGCATGTATGCTAAGCAATGGGCTACTTACCATAGGTGGACAGTTCAAATACCCCGACCACTCCCTGGGAGGAAGATGAGACTGTCTGCTCCCATGAAGGTTTATAGCCTTGGAAACCTGATAGGGTTACTCTGTGTTGCAATAGTCTCAATGGCAGTGGGCTTAAAAAAATGTATCCTCCAAACTAATGTTCTATAGATGGGATGGCTTAGATTAATTTTATTCTCAATAATAATTATTTGGACATAATTAACACCTTGTAATGTGATGAAAAATTGTTTTTCTGTGATGACAGTCCTCATTTATCTCCTCCTTGAGCAATGTTAATAAAGAAAAAGTCTAATTCCTTTTCAAATGAGAGATTCTGTTTGAGGCTAAACTGAGATTCATAGGTCTTACCAAAATAGACAATTGGTGAACCATAGCTGTATTTACATGAGGACCATGGAGGTTTCTGGGGAATCATTTTCCCAGTGAAGAAGCGGTCAGGTAAGACCAGCTGTACTGAGTAATGAATTCTTGGCCACTGAGGAGCTGGAGGGTGAGCCTGAGTAACTTATAGTATCTGTTGTTTCAATTTGTCTCCTAGTCCAGTCAGAGGTTTGGATGCTGTTATGATGATATACAGGTTTCATCAAAGCTTCTAGACGCAGACAAATTAGGAAGAAAGACCTAGCAAGCTATTTCCAAAAGTTTAGCCCAATGAGAGCCCTATGGATCACAAAGTTCTGGTCCCGTTGTGCATGGAATCCAAAAGTAGCAATCATACTTCCTTGAGCATGCTGAATGTTGGGAATGGTGAGTCAAACTCTTAAGGGGCACTTTCACTGAAGACCCTTGGGTACAAATGCCAAGGAGGGAGGGGGCATTTTCTTAACTTTATAACACGCCAGCTCTCAGGCTCCCACTGCCCTAGGGGTGAACAGGAAACAGCCAGGTCTGTGGACATTTAGTGGAACCAGTTTGTTCATGAGAACTTGAGATACATTTTTCTAGTACTCAGAAGTATATGTGGAGCCCTTCTCGTGTTAGTAGACGGGGCATGGGATGATGGGCGGCTTATCCCATTGAATGTCATCTTAGTTAATCCATCCCAGCTAGAGAAGCCTGGAGTCTCTCAGCTTACTCTGAATGTATTTAACTTCCATCTTGCAAAGGGAACTGGTTCTCTGCAGCACTTTTTATTTATGTGCTCAGCTTATGGAATGTTCTGCCTGCCTGGAAAGCTGCTTCAGTTCGTCTTCCTGCACAAGTAGGTTTATGAAACATCTGAATATGTATTTGATTGGCCTGCCTCTGTTGCTCTGTAACTAAGGGCTTGTTCTGACACATACTGAACAGCTGCTTTTAAACACATTCTTTGGCGGCTGCAGACAATATGGTATTTACCCATTTGAGAATTCCACGGTTGGTGTTTAAACAGTTGCTGTTTAACTTTGGCTACGTGATGGATCAGGCTGGTCATTTTCACTTTGGCAGGCACGCTAAGGAGTCAGCCCTTCTGCAACCTCCCTGGCTGTGGCCTAAGACTGTGTTTTCACGGAGGCGGTTAAGTTGCTTGGCAGTTAAGATAAGAGGCTGCAGGAGAGTCTTCACAGAGGTAACTGTGCAAACAAGAGCAACAGTGCAGGTGTGGACAAACCAGATGTTTGAGGGCAGCCTGGGAACCCTCCAACTATATTGGGTGGCTGGACTGGGACCCAACTAGGGAGGCCTAAATCATTTGTGAAGTAACTGCTTTGGAATAGCCCAGCACAGCATGATCAGCTGATGCCAAGCCATGAAACTCTTGTAACATTCCCAGTCTTGCTGTCCACCAACAAACCATCTAGCCCACCCACCTACCCACTCATCTAGTTGTATTCCAGCTGATTCGGACTTATGTGTCAGAATATCGCTTTGCTCCATAGGGTTCTCAGTGGCTGATTTTTCAGAAGTGGACTACCAGGCCCTCCTTTTGAGGTATCTCTGGGTAGATTGGAACCTTCAACATTTGGGGTAGTAGTTGAGAGCTTATCCATTTGCATCACTCAGGCCGTCTTTCCCAGGATAAGAAGAAAATGGAGCTTTGGCCCTGCATGGGGGTTCTCAGAGAGGCACAGGAAGTCCCAGCCAGGCATCAGCCAGTATCAGTGGAAACCCAAAAGTAGGGATGAGGATCACAATCCGTGTATCAGCGAGAGTTTTTTAATGTTTTTTTTTTTTAATTTTATAAACGTTTTGTTAGGGGCTCATACAGCTATTATCTCAGCTGAGATTTTAGCCATTCTTTGTGAGATACAGCTGAGTGAATACATTCATCTGAACGATGTGCTGATTTTTTTCCTGGAAGTGTTCTGAATCTCTACCCTCCTAGACCACTTGACCCACCCCATTGAAGACCCCTCCTTTAATCGGGGCTAGATAAGAAGAGGCAGATTAAGAAATTGGGAAAGAGTAAGTAGGGGAGGAGAAGTAAACAGGATTCCAGTGTTACTGTGATCTAGTGTTGTTAGAGCCAGACTGAAGTTCAGGCGTGGGTTTGTTTTTCAAAGAATCAGAAATTACTCTCAATTTTCCCCTTCACTACCTTTTCCCCACCCCGTCTCTTACCAGGAAAGCCACACCTCAGCCAGCTGCTTGCTGTTGGTTGCTGTCGAGTTGGCAGTGGACCCATGGCGACGCTGCCCAGTCCTGCAATCTCTCCCATAGTTTGCAGATCAGATTGCTGTGATCTGTAGGGTTTTCAGG